ATGGCTGCTGGAACGGATTAATTTTGTAAGTAGAGGTTCCACTGTATAAGATGATGGTACATGACAGCTTTCAGCCTGACAGAAAATATGCTTGGAGCTGCACCTCATCAGAATAGTTGAGTAATATTTACTTTCCATCAACTTTTTTTTTTTTTAAGTAAAAGGAACTCTCTTGGGTGGGTGTAATACATGCATTGTTTCAGGTAATCTGAATTAAATTTATCTTTCATGTTACTCATGGGAGTTTAGCAAGAGCAGAGGCATTGTGTTCAAAAGTACATTACTCATTCTTTAGTTGTCCATTCTTCTTGCTACAGAAGTATAACACCCCAAATAAAGATGCTAATATTCTGTAAGCAAAGCCAGAATTATGTAACTTCCATACTGATACTATTTGAATCCAGACAAGAAAATCAATGCCTTGTTTTTTTTCCCTTCAGCTACAGTCACTCCATACCTATTGTAAAGAGAAGCAGGAAAATCAGAGATACAAACTGATAAGTTACACTAGGGTCGTATATTCTATGAATGGCAGTGTGGTGTAGTAGCTTGAGCATGAGATTGTGACTATGGAGACCAGGGTTTGAATCCCCGCTCAGCCACAGAAACCCACTGGATGACCTCGGGCTTCTCACACACACTCAGCCTCAGAGGAAAGCAAAAGCAAATCCCATCTGAACAAATTTTACCAAGAAAACCCTGTGATAAGGTTGCCATAGGGTTGCCATGAGCTGGAAACAATTTTAAGGCGCACGACAACAGTGTATATTCCATTGGTTTCTGCTGCCATAATATACTGGAGGGAGGAGCCAGCAAACACAGTAGCACCTGTTCACAGGCATTATTTTTCTGTAAAGATTTGATTTTCAATACAATGGAGTAGCTTTATTCCATGGATACACATCTCCTGCTGCAGCACCCACTGCTATTTCCGCTGGCAACAACCTTCAGGCACGTGCATTTTGAAGGGCAGCTCACACAAAATCACTTTAATTGGCAAACTGGGAGCTTAGTTCCACTGGCTAGTTTAACAGCATTATGCTCAAGTATGCTAGCTCTATATGCAAATCATAAAACTGTGGGTAATTGGAGCAGGTTGCAAACATACAGCTGTCATATCCATTTCAATTGTGAAAAACAACCCAAGAGCTGTACCTCTGCCAGACCAAAATATGGTAAATAAGAAGCCTGTGATGTAAAACAACCTGCTTCAAGTGGAAAGAGGAATACTGAGTGTGAAATTTTTCTGGATGGGAAACAGACTCTCCTGAAATGCTGGAAAGCCATTGCAAATCACTGCAGACAGTTCTAAGTCAATAATCTGGCTCAATATGAAGGCAAAAGCAGCAAGGATCTTATATCATTTTTTTATGTGGCATAAGCATCACAAAAGCTTATGCCAAATAGAACTCTCTAGTTTTAAAGGTACCACAAGATGCAACATTTTTGCTGCAAAAGACTAAGCAAGTTACACCTCTGGAAGTATATAGGCAACTTGATATGTTCCTATGGTCAGGGGAAATGTGTGATTTTCCCCCCACCCTTCCCTATTTTAAGCTCCCTGATTTAAAAAACTCTAAAAGATAATAGTTTTCAAAAGTACACTGTACTTGCTCACAGGCACTGTGTTTTGACCAGCAAAGCTTGGCATAGTGAAACAAGTCTAAGCTGAACATCTCGAACTGTGTAACATTGCTTGATGCTGTACAAAAGAGGAAACAGGAAATGTCTGTATTTAAAGTATATTTATTCTTACAAGGCAACAGTTAGTTTCAAAATTGCAACAGAGCCAACGGTGTACACCTTAAACTGGTAGTGACAACATCATAACTTTGAAAGGAGGAAAGAAGAATTTGCAAACCATCCTGGCCATTTTCTGCTTCTTTGTTTAGAGAAGGAAACGCCATGTGTAAGTGGTATAGCATTTCAGCACTGTGTAGCAAGACAGAGGCCCATACAACAAATAAGCAACACTCCTTAGACACCAGATAGAGATTCTGCAACAACAGCTGTAGCTTTACGACCAGCCAGGTCTCACAGCCCATAGTCACAGGCCTCATGACTGTTTTTCAGGTACAGCTCAAGGTAGCCTTTGTATGTCTGAGAGTCCGTCATTGTAGCCTGAACAGCTGGATCCAGCTTCATGACTTCAACCCACTGTTTTAGTGTCGGAGTATGATCCAGACAACTGTAGCAGAACAGAAAAAGCCTTGAGGTTAACTGTAAAATCTCTCTTCGACTACTTTATCTTTAAAGGAGGAAAAGGAGGAAACTAAGGGCCTTTGCAGACTGCCAGAAATAGTGCACATTAAATTGAGGCACTGCCCTGGCTCAGTGCTAAGGAGTCATGGGAGTTGTATTTTTTTCTGAGACATTGAGCCTTCTTTGTCAGAGAGCTCTGGTGCCACAATAAATTACAGTTCCCATGATTCCCTAGCACTGAGCCAGGGCAGTGCCTCAATTTAATGTGCACTATTTCTGGCAATCTGCAAAGGCCCTAACTCAGTAACAAAGCAGTTGGTGGGGAGGGAGGCCCTGAAACTTGGAGATTATCTGTCAGTCAATCAGTCTGCATGGACAATTCTGAGCAGTGGTCTGACTCAGTACAAACCAACTTCTTGCAATTAAGTGCACATGGTCAGAAAGGCACAAGTTGCTTGTGACTGCCTAAAAAGAAAGAACTGCTACAAAGTAAATATAGGCAGAGCCAAACTACTCCAATCTAGCAGTTTCAGGACTTCCAAATGCTGACATTTTAAATTATAGTTGTCAAAACCATGTGGCTGAGATAGCAGCATAGGGCTGGCATGATTAGAGGAGGCAAAAGTATACAAGTAACTAGTAACAATTAAAAATTATAATTAATTTTCTTTTGCAAACTAAGGCATATCTATGTTACAACTCCATTTTAAAAGATAATCTCATTACTCTCTGTAGTATAATGGAACTGTTTAGTCACTTTTCTAGTTAGAATTGTACGGCCTCACTTAATGGCAAGACAGACATGAAGAAGCAGGTGTTTGGGCTTTGTTCCACAAACCAGTGACTTGTAGTTATTCAATTTTTAAAAGTTATTAATAAATAACTCTTTAGGCTATTTGAGAAATAGGAAAATAAAGTGCTACTCAAAAAATTTTATTAACATGTAACTACTGGCCCAAAACTGAGTTTAATCACTTTTAGAGTAATTGTTAAAGCTATGGAAATGGTTAATATTAAAAACTGTCTTGCTGAATTAGGCCAAGATACTCCCAGTTAGGGTGTTTCTGTGCTACCTACCACTCAGCCTGGATTCTCTGGACTGCATATATAAGATATTAACACTCAATATGAAATCATCAAAATACAATCACAGTATGCAAAACAAAGTAAATTACAACCAACAACCACATCAACAACCCAGTACCAAAAACATTATGCAAGCAGATCTTAGAGTGGCAGAACACCACAACTTCCAAAATACATAAAAGTGTTTTAAACACCCACTTAAAAGGCCAAAACATTAAAAAGATATTTGCTTGTCATTGAAACAACTAAGGAGGGAGGAGCATTCCTCAACCAGGATTGCTAACATGTTCTGGTTACGGTAGATACTCTCTAAGTATACAGTGGCACCTGGAGAAGGGCCACCAATAACAGCCTCACAATCCAGGCATGTGTGTAGACAGAGGAGGAGGCAAAACTATGTGTAACCTAGTATAACCTTTTTCTTTCCAGTCATCAGCCAGAAGCTCATAAACCATATATGAAGGACAGAACTGCCTGTTCCCCAGCTTGAGCAAGGATGTTCTATTTCATCTGCACAGCTAAATTAGTTAATTTATTCAGCAATAACCATTTATCCCAAGATTTGCTATATAGGATGGACCGGGGGAAAAAGATTCTTCTTCCTAATTAGACATTACAGAATCCAACTGTGATGAAGCTGGACTCAGATTTGAAACACAAAAGCCTATTAAACATAAAGGTTTAACTTAATTTATTCTGCCCTAAACCAAATTTTTATTCCAATTTCTTTTCTTTTCCCTTTTTTTAAAAAAAGGAAAATGAAGCAAAAATCTAGAAGACAATAAATCTCTATCATCAGGTAAAGTGGATTTGAAGCCAAGTTCAGACTTATGTCAAAAAACAACATTTTAGATTTGAATTTTGATTTTACACAACAGATGTTTAAGATAAATTTCTCATAAGACTCTCAAATGATTGAACCTGAACTAATTGGAGGTGAGTGGCTGTTGGTGAAAGAAAATTTATCCTTCTCCAATTAATCTCCAAACCTGAGCATAGTTTGATACTATTTATCCTTGTTGAATATATGAATGACAGTTTTAATCTTTCCACAATAGCTGCACAACTATCACCTACTTTTACACCACTTCTGCTTTAGACAGTACAGCAAAAACATTTGTATATTTTTTTATCATAATAACCATACTGATTGGAAGATTCTGGATGCTGTAGTCCCAAAATGGTAGCCTGTCCAAGCTCTGATTAGCTGTGGCCATATTCAAGCAAATATAAAGGAAATGAACCCTCCATACCCTTTTCCCTGGCTCTCCCCTGCCAGCTGCTCTCAAACTGCCTCAAGGCACTGGTTTAAGTACTGGATGAAGACAGGCAGCTGCAATTGGATACTCAAGTGTGAAAGGTTAAAAAGGTCTAAAGGGCTTACTCAAGTAACTGAACGGACTCCATGCGCTCAAACCATGGCCAAATCAGATAGTCAATCATAGTCACTGAGTTCCCACCAAAGAATTTAGTCTTGTGGTTTACCAGAATCTGAAAAGGAAACAAACAGAATATTTATAAATAGCATACCATTTAGCACAACACAAAGCATTGCAGAAATTCACATCTAATAGCCTAATAGGAAAGGGGACGACACAGAAAGCAAATAGTGCACTATTCAGAAGCAAAGAGCTTAAATGTTCTTTCAGCATTTATCCCATATTGCTGACCTATGTGGTGTTTTCTGGTCCTTAGTAGACTGTACTAGGGACCATGTGAGGTAAAAGGCTGGATTTTGGGATTGATGGCAGAAGGCATCCCTGCAGGGGAAAAGCAATGTCAAAGTGGGAACTCAGGAAGCTTCTGGCCACTCAAGTATTTCATTTCTAGAGCTACATACGCACACATAGCTCCCAAGATATACTACTCTGGCTTGCACAAGACTGCAGTACAACTTGGGAAAATGAGTTTTAATTTTGTACATTCCATGGTAACCACACAAATTACCTAAGGTGTTGAGGAAACTCTAGGATGCTTCTGTATCTGTTCACCTTACAATGTGTTTATTCTAGTTTCTTTTTTTCAAGTTTACTTTTTAAAAAGTAAAAGTGAAGTAAAATGTTTTTTTTCCTGTGGCTGTGTTCCCCCGCTGCACAACCTCAGAACCACCCATTATTCAAGCCAGCTGTTTACTTCATGAACGCTTCACTGCACTGCTGTCTCCTTACCCTGCACCAACCAGCCTGTTTGGAAGCTATGTGACTTCTAATCCTTTGGATTAAGTACAAATATATCCAAATATTTTCAAAGGGCAAAACAGCCACACAGGTGTTATTGCTTGAGGAGCACCTCCTCCTGACAGACCTATTATGAG